CTTGGGATCCGATCAGCCCTAAAGGCTGATCTACGTATGTCCAGCGCCAAGTTACTATATATGGACAACCACTGCGCTTATCTGGCAAGTTCTTCTCCGATAGTTCCAGAATTCCCCGTTACGACGCGTATTATGCTCGTCAGCTAGCCATGAGCATGCGTCACTACAAGCTTCTCGACGTCAGAGAATAACGTAAGTCTCTTGTTCCACAAGACCTACAGCACTGTCCGTTCGTTTTCCTCGGTTTCGGTCTCTGTAGACCACTAGAGCAATCTTACGAAGGTTCGTTCAAGTTTCTACAGCGTAAGGACCGCATCTTTATCATCGACCATCATGGTAAACGAGATGCCGTTACGATTGACCGTCCCAAAGTTACGCACGTGGAACCTGAACTTGGTGAGGACCGTTGCCCGTTTTCTGACGAATCTATCCAACCTATGATGGAAGACGCCTGTTTCCAACACCCCTGACCCCAAGCAGCACCCTCCATCCAAGTTTCCAACTTTAGATCCGCCGCTTGCCATTGAACCAAGCGATACCTCTAAAGCAATTCCTACAATTCTGCGATCCGATAGAATGCCTGAGACGATAACTTCCTCAGAACCGCACAAATCGATTAGGTCTGGTAGCCGGGTACATTAGCCAGCGCGATTAAGGGATTAGTATTCTTCCACTTTTCTTTTACCTTTTGGCCAACACCGTAAGGGAATAAAAAATGGCGAAAGCTTTTGAAAACGCCAAAAAAAATCGACAAAAGTTTTTGAAAATCCAAAACGAACGCAAGACTTTTTGAAAACTAAAAAGAAGCAAACGTTTTGAAAACATAAAAAGGGTTGTGTTTTGTTTGGCGTCTACCTCCTCCGGTGTCATTGTTGCTTTTGTTATCGCCAACAATGTCACCGCTCTTGTTTCCGTTTATCTTCCATGTATGAGTCGAAGGTGACGAGCTTGCGGCGAACATTCGACATACAGGAACTTGCGAACATTTGACACTCACGAACTTGCTCCCATTTTGTTTTTGGCACCTTTAGGGAGAACACGCGTGAGAGCCTGCTAGGGTCCGATCGCCTGGTTCTCCTAAGGCAGCTGCATCAGGTTTCACTAACTGATCTCGTAGAAGACTGGCCTACGAAGGACAGTCCTAAGGAAGATAGAAGGGTCACCCACGGTTTCCCTTCTAGGAAGGGGATGTGTAGTGACCTGGAGATTTCTCCGTATGATTGCATAGATTATTCCAAAACATATCAAAAGTATAGTTTTCTTATGTATTAGGGAATTAGGCGGTTTGTCTGTCGGAATTTTGTTCCCATTTGTTTGAAACACAAATACGACAGCCGCTTTAGAAGCACGCGACTCGGACCGTAAGGACGCCCGACCACGCACTCGAGGCTCAGCTACATCTTCCCTAGCTAGCTCTTTTCTGGTGCCTTAGTTTTAGCATTAGCTAGCTCTTCTACCGTTCGATAAACCTTTCCCTAGCTTATTTTCGTGTGCACTCGGTTGGTCGTTTAGCCTCGAATCTGATATATAGGGCACGATCGAGGCGCTATATCAGCTAGGATGCGATGGTATTTTCGGTTAATCATATGTCTAGAATGTTGATTGCGGGGTTGTGATGTGGCTGTGTGGAAATACGTCGGACGAAGTCGATGCCATCACGAGTGTAAAACTAGCCTGCGTCGCGGACTCTGTTCAGTTTGATGCATATTGCACTGGCATTCACCTTAGTTCACCCAAAACCAGTCGGTTTTATCAATGTGAAAATATTTTCAAAAACAAAATAAAAAACGTTTTGTTTTTAACAAGGCGAGACACGTCTGCAAGGGCATGATTATGGCGATACAAGCGCTAAGGGTTAGTAAATGTAAATAACGGTAAAAGTTTATCAGTAGCATATGGAGTCGTGATAAGTGTATATGAAAGTAGGTAGGTAAGGATGTTTGTGGCTGTGTTGCTTGAATTGGTAAATGTGACGTCGCATTTGTGAGTGGTTTAGATAGGTCATCAGCGTGAAAAGGGTTGAAATGAAAGCTTCGTAGTGTATAACTGACGTCCGTGTATTGGGTGATATCATCCAGTGACTAGTTAGCAGCAAGTCACATTCGCCACGTGGCAGTGTGGTTAAACAGATACGTGGTCTTTTATAGGGAGAACGCGTGCAAGGCAGAAACTCACTACGTTATTCACGACCCTCGCAATAGTTGTTGGGAGATGGTGTTAACTTACTAGTGAATAGACCGGTTACACAGTTCGACGCTACTAGGTGTTAGGAAGAATTATCTACTAAATAATAGCTTGGGACGGTCGACTCTATGATCAAGAAGAGCAGAATAGTAGTGTCAAAACCACTGCGTTAGCAGCTTCATCTCAACTGCCCCATTACTATGTGCAGTGGTTCCGGTGGTTCACTGGTCCACGTGAAAGTTATTTGGTAAATGAGACTGAATTTCGCTTCAGAAGTGCTCTGGTCCCAGTTTTGCGTCTCGTTAGGTACACGAACGGCATCGCATTTGAAAACGGTTCAATACGATGATGACAGCTGACAAAGTGGCAATTATCACTGTCATGCAGCAACAGATAGATGACACTTGGCAACAGTTGGCATTTCCTCTAAACGCCCACAGCCACCCAAAATCTCCTTACAGCACCCTCTGCAGAAAACTACTGGCAATTTACCTAACCGTATGTCACTTCAAACATGTCTTAAAGATTGCACTTCGTTTAGCACAAACCACCGATTTATGTGTATGTCGCGACAACCGACCGATACTCTCGTAGAGTCGCGCTACCGAGACTATAACACTGTTTACGACCGACATACGTCACAAATGTGCATAACGCCGCCGATGCACTTTCTCGAGTCCAAGTAATCGCCGCTGGCACATGCATGTTATCGACCGCGCAGAGTGGTCCATGCACAACTCAGTGATCCCGAGTTGGATCTAATATGCATGTCCTACTCATTGAGCATACAGCCCGTTCCTCTGACATCGTCAGATAAAATTGTCCTTTGTGACGTCTCTGGGCACAGCGCACCAAGTCGTACTAGGCGAATTTCGACAGACCGTTTTCGACACGTTGCATGGTTTGTCGCACCCAGGCGTTTGTGCATGGGTTAAACTAGTAACCGCAAGACTCATTTAATGTCACCTCAATGGCAATGTTCGCAAATGGGCCACCGACTGCCTTTGACGTCAACATTCGAAGGTGGAAAAGCATACCAAAAGCACTTTTTCACCACGCGCATGTCGACCTGGTAGGTCCTCTGTCGCTTTTGGAGGGCTCGGTATAACTAATGATTTGTATCGATCGATTCACAAGGTGGCCAGAAGCTGTTTTCATTCCAAACTGCTATTTGGAAACGGTAGCGAAAGCTTACCGAGAGCGCTGGGTAGCACAGTATAGCTATGCCGCCTTCGTGACCGCCGAATAGCATTTCTCAACCAATCTCGCTATGTTGTTGCCATGTCCGGACGATGGCGTATCATCCAGACGCAACGGCATTGTAGAGCGATTTTATCGCCAACTAAAGGCAGCGCTTCGAGCACATACAGACTCTTCATGGCGCTAAGCCATTCCTCTCGTCTTCCTAAGCTTAAGGAACATTGTAAAGACTGATCCCATCGCAACTAGTTTACGACTGCAGACTGCGTTTGCCCGGACAGCTGGTAGCATCGTCTCTTTCAAATGCAGAAGTTATATCGATCGGTTAGCTAACCAGATGCGTGAGCTGCGTCTGCCCGCTTCATGGCTGTAGAAGACACCGGTGTGCGTGCCAGATAAAACCGTCTACTTATTCACGCGCACTGCATCGCAGTCGCTGTACATTGGATCCTTCAAAGTAATCAACCATGCAAATAAGACACGATAGATCGCGGTGGCCGACACGAAATCGTCACCATCGACTTGCCTGAACCTAGACTTCATGCAATGCTTTATGCGACGCAATGACTAATTGCAATGTTCAGCAACCTGGTATCGTCGTATCAGACCGCGATCCCAGTCTACAGGCATCAGCCGTTCCGACATTATTCACCACAATCAAGCTGTTGCCTCTCACGACTAACTGTGGTGACCGGGAGGTACCAAGGCTCGTTCGTTTTGCCGAGTAGTGTTAATACGTATTGTTCTAAAAATATTGCATATTTCTGCCTAGTTTTTTAAAACCAAAAGACAATCCAAGCCTACAAAAAACCACCGAAACAATGCATAAAAGCCTAAACAATGTTGCACTTAAGCCAGCTGTTCGTTCTTATTTGCACTTTTCTGCGTGCGTAGTTCCTGTATTCCCCTTACATGCCCCAACACTCTTGTCTGAGCGACTGACCCTAACGACCAACGCCTTCGAGGATCGCCGCGGTCAGCGAGGACCCAATCGCGAAAGCTAGACGTCCTACGTGGAACGTGAGTCGTTTTGTTGCGGGACGGAGGTAAAGATTACTCCTAAATGCATCGTTTGCAGTAGCGGAGGTTCTGTTGTTTTTCTCCGGAGTAGCCAATTTTTCAGTCCGACAAGCCCGCTACGACAGCTCGTCACGATGCACTCCCGTCTTATAATCAGTTGAACATGAAAATACAAACGGCAAAGCGGACCCTGTATTCCGACGTATTTTGGTTCGAAAAGAACAATCGCACCCATTTCCAATCGGCCCGATTTCGCCTTACGAACTTCAACACACCCACCCTATCGACATAATTGGGCACTCAAAAGTACAGAAGGAGACTCTCGTAGGAGAGTAAATATTTCTGAACAAATAAGCCACGAAACAATAGAAAGGTCCTCTTTTACACATTACGGTGCATGCTTCAATGAAGTGCGATTTACTAACTGGATGTTAATAAGTTGGTGCCGACATGCATAAGTCGAAACGCTCTGTGAATGGTGAGTAGCTATGCGGTTAGATAGGATTATCAAAATGGGTACAATGGTAACAGGCGAAAGTCAGTGAGGTAATTTAGATTTGCAGCAATTAATATTGAGATGAAAGAAATAAACTTACCTTATTTGCTCCAGAAAATTTGTGGTAGTACATAGACACATAAGCCATTACGGAACGCTCATCTGGCTTGGCGCTATTAACCATATCTTCAGGATCAAGCATGCGCGGTATATCTAAATGCCGCTCCGCCACCTCGAAAGCATATTTCAGGTTGTATAAAGCGTTTTTCTATGCGAGGTAAACAGAAGAGGCAAATTACCCGTTCTAAATTTCCGTACTCTACTAATTCAGGACGATTTCTATGGATAATAGCGCAGAAAGCAAGTCCGTCCTTGAAACTACGAAGGATTATGCGCCAGTTAAATTACCTAGTGTGAAAGTTATCAACTTTGACATTTTTGTATGGGGCCGTTTGTCGTTGGCACCAAAGAAGTAGACCTTCTTTCGCAGAAGAATCTACGCGGACGAATACATATACGCGACACTCATTACCTTCGATTTGAATGTCTTGAATAGCAAATCGTAGAATAATGGTCCAGATCATCCCCAGAGTCATTTTGACGTTCCCAGCGACGATCTCTAAACCGCCTTGATCCCAACTTCAACCACTTACCTTCAGCACCAATAGATACTAGTTTGACTCCTTTGCTTTCAATGAAATCGAGAGCTTTGTTGACATTTGTGATTTTATGAAACTTCATTTTTCCTTTATCAGGCTTGGGAAGCGTTTCACCGGAAATGACTTCCAAAAGCCTCATCAATTTGAGGCCATTTCTGAAATCATTTTCGATGGACTCGATGGACTCATTAACTTTCCGTAGATGCGCGTTACACCAGGCAGTAAATGTCTAAATATGTAGGGGTGCAATAAATGAACCAACTTTTTTCTGCTGCTGTTCCCACGCGGGATCAATGGACCCATCCGACTGAACGACATCATCATCCTGGTCCACATAACCTTCATAGTCCTCAATCGCCATGTCAAAGCCACGGAGAGAGAAGAAAGTCGACCGCCCCAAATTACTGATGAAGTGGTGATGTCCAGCTGCGAATAACGTCTATTATAACACGAGTTATTTGTAGCGAGGTAATTATGATGCAAAGCATCAAATAAAACAGATGCGTATCAAATATATGTAAGTACATAGATACTGTATGTAAAAGACGTTACGCATGTAGATTCGATACCTAATAATATACTTAGTAAGTAATAATTATTGCATTATGGTGCTAACATGACTTAGGAATATAGTTGATAAATACATTAATTTAGTTATGTCATATATGTATATTATAAGCTATACTCGTTGTAGTACAAACTATAATCAGTTTGAATAATAAAGTATAAACCATATATGATTCACGTAGATAAAAATTACCAATAGGTCGTAAGCCAAAGAAAATGGTTATGTGTACGTGTGCACTTTCCTTACGTAAACGATGCGCCGCACCTTATGGATCACTAGCCTTAATGCTGCTTGCTATTGGCTATCTTGCTGTACAAAGTTGCGCTTTCAATTGTCCGGTACACGCCTACCTCCCAGCCACGAAATTGAAGGACCCAAACGACGCGCGTCAGCCGACCTAGTTGTTTCCGGTTGTTTTTGGTACAACCATTCCGAAGTATTACATTATCCTAAATGTCAGCACGCTACAGTTTAGAGCAGCCATTAAGTATCCACAACTATAAACAAACAGTGAGGTACTGCACGTAGCGCCTGGTTCATAGGATTCGGATTCAGATGGCATTGGATGGATAGGAAAATCACTTGAGTGTTACTGCTTTCGTGGATCGTTGAGCCATAAAATGATAAAGGGTTAAGAGGGCTTGCTAGATTTAAAGCGAAACACCCGAAACACTCCGAGGTCAACCAATTACTGCCCACGTTCCCTGCAATTGCAATCCCCGCTGATTAGGTCATTAAAAGTAATGGTGAGGTAGAAAGAAAATGGAAGATAAAGAGGATGAATAAACATATAAATGAAGGATATCAAGAAGGCGTGAGGAAACGGACAGCACATTAAATCAAATTTGGATGATGGATAGGGTCAGGACGAAGGAAATTTTTATGTTGCCACCCAAATTGATCTAACTGACACTGGAAACCCTCAACTATACTTTCACTGACTGCACTTCCTGGAGGCGTGTTTCAGCGCTCGATAACGCTAGGCGATAATCGAGTTTCCGCCCTGATCCGGTCGGAACGCTGCTTGTGTTGTCTCGCGCGAGGACCCTGAAGAGGAGGCAACCTAGCCGGACTAAATATCCAGCTCAAGCCCGGTCCAGCCTTTCCTGTTAAACTGCGGGAAGTAAGGATTAGGTCTCCTCGAAACCCTTGGTAGTGCAGTAAATACATACCGAAACGAAGTAGACACTCGGGATACTATTGCCTCCGTAACCCCACGATCAACATTGTACCTGCCCTCAAAACTCTCTCCAGCTCCATACTGTCCCGAACAAGGCAGGGTGGCCAAGCCTGGACGCATTGTTCCAGATAGGGTCGTACGAAAGCAGAGAACAGCTTTACAATTATGTCAGCGGTGAAAACCACGAAAGAACGGCGGATTAACAACAACCTTCTAAACCCCCTCTTTGTGGACTACTTCCATTTTACCAGGATGCAAAGACGAGGAATGGACGACCCCTAGTTCTACCTAGTTAGAGACAAAGGGAAGTTTATCCCACCGAGCAGTATCTCGAAGGCGGGAAGTGGCTCCTTCACGGAGGTCGGAACTCAGCCTGATCAGTGAGCAGTAACAACAAGGTGGACCAAACCCAGAGTCTGTCTAGTGCATTGTGTATGGCTTCAGAACCCCCAAGGACTTTATTAACATTTCATAACTTAAGGTAACCAGCAAACAAAAGGGACGATGTCCCAGGCCCTCCAGGAGATCGGTTACGTAGACGAAGAACAGCATCGGTCCTTGAATCGAACACTGTGGTACACCGCTAAGGACTTCTTGCCTAAAGGACGAGCTGCGACCAACACTTACACTCTGACCTCTTACCAGCAAAATTGCCGATACCCAGAGAAGAGCGCGTCCGCATACGTCGCATAAGGAAGAATACGTTGTCAGCTCCATTGCTTCTTGAGTATCGTATGGAGGCCTCAATTTGTCGATATGCGGGATTCCACAAGGGACCATGGCAGCTACAATGGGAGCTGCAGGGGTCCATCGTGCACATAATGTAAGAATCCAACCTTCGCAGGAAACATTCCTCAGACTGGGCATCCGTGATACGCTTAGGAAAGCCGTTCCAATCGTTGACTAGGCTAGTTGATATAGCGAGAGTAGGAGGAACCCATGCATTTCTTGTTTAAATAGCCGAGTAAAAATAAGTGACTTGTTAAATTTGGCTGCTAACAGATAAGCTAAACTCAAATGCAAATGGAGCCGAAACAAATGGATCGCCATTGTCATTCCAAGGCTTTGCGAATTTCAAGTGCTAGTTCAAGTTCATGTAGAACCGGAAGGTTTGGGTCCAAATGATGCCCATTGTTGCGCCGATCGTTGGTTCTATATGCTTTACGGAGTTGTATAGAGAAGAAGGGAAATGCTTGTCAACCGTATCCATTCCGATTTATACTGGGGTTGTGGAGAATCGTTGTGTTAAGGCCTTCCTCGAATGTTCGTCGCGGCTACGTGGACGGCAGCAAGTTCCCTATTTTTTCAGAAAACGATTGTTTAACAGCTAATTGAATTTTTCCTGTAATTCCGCGTTCACACCTTACAGTCTTTCTTTCCAGTCCTTTACCACGTTGGTGGATATAAATTAGTAAATATACAAATATTTTATTCTCGACTATGCGAGGCACGCCAATTGAGGCATGATCAGGTATGTACAGCTGTACAGACATTTTATGGCAACTGTAGTGACAGTAGAAAACTGTTCATATATCCATGCTTGGAACTGTGCAATGGTGAACATGCGAAACAACGATCTGGTTGTAGTGGATCGGGACCCACTTGGTTGAACATAATCGCTCTGCCATATATTGCCGCCATACCTCGAAAAATAATAGATTGATAATACTGAATGATCCAATGGAAGATAATTGAAGGGCACGCCAAAATGATGACGCTAATTGATCTGCCACTGTGAAGTTATGGGCTGTGACTTTATTCGGTGGCGAGTCACATTCGCCACGTTGCAGTGTTGTTAAACGGACATTTGTGGCTATTTATAGGAAGAACGCTTGCCAGGCGAAAACCTACCACGTCCTGAAACATTGCCGCCAATCCATTGAATGGCAAGTTGTAACTGGCTACGTTTATAATTGAACGTTTGTTTGCTTCGTTATTCGCAGTCAAGTTGCGTCCAATTTTTTGCTGACTGATGTGTGCCTGGGTCCTGTCCTGTGCCAGATCGGTAGGTCAGGAACTAAATATTCTTTCTGGATATGATGTGTTGATCATCTGTAGAACCACGTGAAGTCACCGAAGGATAGAGGTTGAAATATGTTAAAGTATTGGAGGATAGGATAAGGTTCCGAAGGAAGAATAGCAGATCCCCCTGGGTATATAGTGAAATTGATTAGAAATATAGGAAACCACGGCCACTTGAGCGGTCAAAGCGGACTGAAGAGCTTAGAATGACCGATTGTTCAAGCTTTGTATCGGCAGGAAAATGTGCCTTCCGAAGTCGAAAATCCTCCAGTCAAGAGATATGTGGAAGAGGTAGTGTTAGGTAAATTGAACTCAGTGGTTCAAGCCGCGGAAGAATTGTATCAGTGCAAGATGTCGAATGAGTTATCCGGTTGGTAAGTTGTAAAAGAGTTGATAATTTTCCGCTCATGTCCAGGTAAAGGAACTGTGCGCCTTGTATTGTTGTCTCAACGGTGGACAGTTCCTTGGGGACGTGTCGCCGTACTTGTGACAGACTGGGGAGAAAAAAGCCATGCGAATTCAGCGACTCCTTTTATCATCTTTCGCGAAAGAGCTCGTGTGGAGCAGTCAAGGAACAATGCTATATTACAGATAAAAAAGCGATTGCTTTACAAGTCCTGCAAGATATTGAAGTGCAAGTAAACATAAGTATAAATCGTCTATTTAAGCGTCTAGCGATTCAGGTGTCACTTGTTTATAAAATCCTTTTTGGATGTGTACTGAATTGTTACTGTAGAGTAACATGGGGAAGGTATGTCATAAGAACAAAAGAAATGACAACACTTACTCGTACGCCGCTTTCTTAGACTGAGGTAGTTGAGGAGTACAGTTGTAATATATCCGAAACCATATGCCACAACAGCAGTGTGTAAGTAGTGAAGCACAAAAGGTGCGAATGAGCACCCTTTGTTCGCGCTTGCTTGCCGTAGACATCTGTGATTATATGGCATAATGTAAGTGGATAAGCGAATCATCCGGACGTCTTTTGCGTACCGTTAGCGTGAGTGAAGAAACAATGTATGTGGGAAGAGCGTTCCAGTGTTGACACGCATGAAGGGAAAAGCAATTCCGACGGCATTCCAACCGGTTGTATTGTGCGTCCAGCTTTAAATGGTGTCCCCTGAGTGTGGTATTGCTATTCAGTTTTAGTAGGTGGCGACAAGAATGGTTTGGATGCTTCAGGATCATATTAGTCATTATCAAGTCCCCACGCAGGTGTCGATATTGTCCCCTATAGACCCCGAGGGTTTTCAGCCTTAATCGGTAAGGGAGATGAAACAGGCCGTTTACGTTCTTGGTCGCCCTTCGTTGTGGCGGTTAAAGAGCGGTAAGGTCTTGCTTTTGCCATGGCTGCGGGCGTAGATGGAGTACGCAGAATGAGACCGAATATGAGCGTTAAGCATCTAAGAAAAGATGGAAGGATCAAATCGCCAAAATGCACTCTTTAAAAGGCCAAGGTGTTGGTTAGCTTTTCGGAGACTCTCGGCCTGACGGGAACAGCCCAGATCTTCCTGCACTACCACGCATAGATCGCATTCGGTTGACGTGCTTTGCAATATTTGATCCCCCAATCTGTATTCGCAAGTAGTTTGTAGTTTTATGGCGTCTGCTCAACACCTTGCACTTTGTAGCGTTGAATGAAAGCAGGTTCTGAGTCGCCCATTCGTAGACCCTGTCAAGATAATTCTGA